TCAGGATGCATACGTCCTCAGAAGTCGGCTGATTAAAGTTAAATATCTAACGAATGGAGGGGAGTCTGGTGGAGACCCGATGTTTGAATCGCTAAAGAACACGATCAAGTCGTTGGCTACCGTTGATGCTACAGAAGAGCAGATTCAAAAGACACTAAAGGAGATAGCTAAATTATTCGGCAATACGGATGCCACGATTTCTAGCTTTGAGTTGCTGAAAAGTGGTCTCCTTGATGGTCTCCTTGAATTCACAACGGCCACAGATCGGACAGGTAGGTAGTTTGACTCATATCCGGCATCTCACTGAACTTTCATGTAGTGGATATTGAGAGGCGCAAAGATCTGTTCTTAGAAGCCTTTTCTGCCCGCTCAGGATATGCTACACCATCTTCCCAGACCCCTCTTGCTGTGCTAGTGAAGCGCCTGCAAGAAAGTTTGACAAGAATGGAATCTTTTGATGTGGTAACCACCTCTCCGGGCTCTGTAGACGGTAAGTGTTCTTTACATTATACAGTATGTGTCTTATCTGTATACAGATGCAAAGAGATCCTCGATGTCTCTTATCAGTCGAACCTTACGATTGAAGCTGACGGCCGAGGAACCTGCGGATGTTCCAAAATCTTGTCAAAACTTGATGGTTTCTATCCATGCTATTGCTCCTTTCTCTGCTCTGGACGATTATCTCAAACCGAGAATCGCTGGCATCTTACCGTTTAGAAGCGACATGTCTCAAGGATTACTTCAAGCTCTGACCGGCAACGCGATACATCCGTCAGTCCTGACACAATCGATGCTGGCTCGTCTCACGGGACGTCCCGCTAGTGTACCAAATGAGTCAACAACATCCGGAAACGACACTCTCGGGGGGTTATTAGAGTCTCTCAGAGGAACGATATCTCAAAGCGCGACACCATCCAGCTCTGCACCACCGAGTGCAACTTCCACACTGCCTATTCCTATACCTAGCCGACGTAATACAGATGATTCTAGCTCGGCGATGCCACCACCCAGTCTCCCAGAAACACCTACAAGTGATGAAAGGACGATTACACGCCGCCGTAGTCTCCGTCTGAGAGGCCAGCCTCCGTCAAATATTGACGAGTCGCAATCGAATAATGAGCCCATAGCTTCAACCTCAGCGCCTGCCTCAACGAGAACCTTTGCCTCAAGCGGGCGTTCTAACTTGACATCGTCTCTACTCAGACAGTTATTGGTGGATAGCAGTAATGATGAAGGAGCAGAAAGAACTGTGCGTTACATTGTTAGTAGCGGAACGAGACCACTTACTCCCCCTTAGCCAGGCAATGAGGAAGAAGATGGAGCCACGGAACGGGCATTCAACCTCGCGTTTGACTCCGGTAACTTTTTTATCAGATCTTGTGATCTTTATTCTGACCCTCCCTTCCCTTCCCCAGCGGATGGAAATTTAACAGCATCTACCCCGCGTGGAACGCGAATCGCGACGCCTATGAATAGCTCCACTCCTAATATTGAGGTGCCCATTGCTCTAGCCGCCCGTAGTGGCAATAAGACACCAGGGACTCCTCAATCAAAGCTGTCGTATGCTGGCGCAGCCCTTTCTGCTATAGATAAGGCTACCGATTTTTATCTCGAATTCCGCATTAACGACGAGGTCATACCTATGGATATGACCGTCTATGGTGCATGCCACCGACTTGAAACTCGCCGTGTTACAGAGGAAGGGCCAAATCCCCATGCTGTCTGGAACAATAGCTATACCATTACGTATCGTAAGGTCCAGGGCAAGCGTCCGTCGTCAGGTGATAACAGCTTTTCATTCTTCGTCCTAGTATTCTTATCCATTCTCAGAATCCAACAAAGATGATATGCCTATGGAAACGGATGTGGTCGCTGGATTAGCAGCTGAAGATCCCTCTTCCAAGATCTTGAGACTTCTTCGTGTTCTTCACCGTCTCAATACTGATGGAATCGAACATGCCGGCTCACATCTAAAGATCGTTACGATACCAGATTCAGCATTCATTAACAACAAGTTGACCGCTAAGCTCGCAAGACAATTAGAAGAAATTATGATTCTGGCTAGGTCGGTGATTTTAATTATCCTTATCACCGTCTTCTGAGCTCTTTGTAGCAACTGTCTCCCTGATTGGGCATTGGATTTGCCTCAAGCGTTTGGTTTCCTCTTTCCATTTTCTACACGCTACTTGTTCCTCCAAAGCACCTCCTTTGGCTACGCGCGCTTGCTCAACAGGGTCATTTCTCAATATCCACGTGATGTACCCAACAATAACCGAAGAGAGGGATTGGAGCAGTATGGTCGTCTCCAAAGGAAAAAAATTGAAGTACCTCGTGACTCGCCGATGCAAGTTGCACTAAAGGTCTTTGACCTGTTTGGTGCCTCTTCTTCCGTTCTGGACATTCATTTCCAAGGGGAGGTTGGGACTGGTCTTGGGCCAACCTTGGAGTTCTTTGCGTCAGTTTCCAAAGAATTTGCGTGGAAAGATTTGAAACTCTGGAGAGACGCGGATAGTACACTACCCGGCAAATATGTTCATCATCCATTTGGCCTTTTCCCTTCCCCAATGCTGAACGAGGTCGTCGATGGTCCCACGGCCACAGAAAGAGACAGGTATTTGATTATTTTTAAA